AACTAACTAACTTACTTACTAAGTAAGTAACTTTTCTTTACTAAATAAATAGTAAGTAGTAACGTAACTAGAAGTAAGTACTACTTACTACTAGTAGTAAGAACACTACTCCTCCTCTCTCTCTCTCTCTCTCTCTCTCTGGTGTGTTTTCATAAACTAAAATACTTTCTAATATAGCCTTCTTGACTTGATTTGAAGACAAATCTCTCTGTGTCTCTACCACTCTCTCACTCTCACCCACACACACTCCCCCCACACACATACACACACCCACCCCACCCCCCCTCCCCCCCGCCCATGCACACCCCTACCTGTTGCAATGGGGCGTGGTTCAGGCTCTTTTGTAGAATGCAAGACAGTTGTACCGCACAGCACCGTGATAAACCCACAGATCTCTGAAGCAATATTACTAGCCTTCTGACCAGACCAATCCTAAAAAAACAAAAAGCAAAGGGAAACATATATAATGGCATCAAAAGAATTAAATACAGAATGCCGCCAAAGATTGGGAAAGATTGGGTGCATTTACCTTAAACATAATGGCACTTGCAAGTATCGTAAGAGATGTAAACATGGCATAATAAATAGGCGAAACAACTGCTGTATTAAACGTATCCAGTGCCTGCCATAAAGCCCCAGCAAATTGTCAAGAATAAAAACATTTCGTGTTCTGTTCTTGCCAACATGGTTTTTCCATCCATGTTTATCTCAATTCTAGCGTTTGAAATTATTATTAAGCACAAAATCAAAAGAATATGCACTGTATCTTAGAGCAATGCAACATGCTCGCTTTAGAAAAGTCACTGAGTACATAGTGACATCATCATAGTCCGGAGTACATAGTGACATCATCATAGTCCAATAGTCCGGAGTACATAGTGACATCATCATAGTAAAATTGAGATGGCTCTTTGTTTTTCTTTTTCTGGGTGGGTCTCTTTGGGAATCTGAACCTGGGATAAAGTTTAGCAAAATGCATTTTTTGTAACCAAGACGAATGTTTGTGATGGGTCCCATGCAAGATGCTTATATGCACTTGTACCTCCTAGAAATAATATAGTTTGCTGCTCAATCACAATATTTTTTATCAAAGTCAAGCGACCAACTTTTATGTCACGGTGATTCGAATTTTAGCTCAAATCATGTTAAATCCTCGTGAGATAATTCTATTTTAGAGATACATATTCCACTAAAATATGAAGGACTATTATGAATACTCTGTTTTGATGAGATATGCTGACGGTTTTCCACCAAATTAGCAAGCATAGAGATTATACAATTACGATGTTCAAAAACTTGGTAATTCCTTCTTGGAATTGCCTTATTCAAGTGGAACTACAGAGGGCACCAAACTTCGCCAGGGGCCTTGTTTTGAACAGAACTACTGACAGACCCAGGTGCTTTTCGATCAAAATCACCAAAGTGTCCGAGTCTGAATCATAGTTGTTGGGATCGGGAACAGGAGATAGTGAAATGCTAGAAGATCCCTAAGGTTGGGAATGGCATCCATACAATGCACATGTTAGGGATCGAGATCCCCAAATGTTAGGGAATGCGATTGCGACCCAACCTTTAGGAATATTGATCAAAACTTTTTGAGGATCTTGCTATCAACCTTAAAGTATATGATAATCTAGGCTTTTGTATAATCCTTAAAGTAGGGATCGCATTATTTATAGCAAGCAAGAAATGCAAGTATATTAAAAAAATGCTAGCTGGCTATAATCAAGAAAATCATCAGTTTAGTTGTTGCATTGGTCTTTAAGGTTGGTATCAAGATCCCTAATAACAGGCATCGAGATCCCTAACAGTGGGAGATCAATGAACCGAAAATTTCAAAATCGGGACCCTTGAAAGTGAGAGTGGATACAAAGTCTAGAGCAAATTTCCAAGCCGAAAAACAAGGCAAAATGGACGCCTTCAACAAGCCACTTGCTAAAAACCAAGTGAATAAGTTACAATCCTTTTACATAACAATTACAACCATTTCTAGTCTTGTATAACCACTGTAAATAAACTCACATACCAACCCCTTATGGGGCAATTACATATAAAGCAAGACTAACTTATGAATTACACTTCCATAGCACACATAAACTATGTCCCAAAGCTTAAATACATCATGCAACTAATCTAAACAAAATTCTAAAGAATAAAATCAACTAAAGCGGGAATTAAAATGCCAAATTAAAATAGGAAAGCCATGTTTCGAACCCCTTGTGCCGAGCCAAGCAATCGGGCCCTATAAGGACTTAATTTTGTCCCTTCAGATTGCACAAAAGTGGTTCAATCTCACAAAAGTGTCTAATCTAAATGGGAAGAAATTACACACCTTAAAATCACTTCTTAATATCTCAACACACTGGCATTATCATCCAAAACATAATGCAAAAGGTTTGAATCGAATCGGATAAAGAACAAGAGAGTTATGGCCAAACTACACACGGTGGTCCCTCGGACCACCAAAACAGTCATATATGGAAAGATTTTGAACCCCCCATAGGTAAAAACATGATGAAAAAGTTCTGAAAATAGAATGACACTCTGAGACTAAATTATTTGATGGGTTTGAAGCAAAGTAATTAAGGGATACTATGCTTGATCATGGATTCTCATTCATATAGGCTATAACTCATGAAGGACCACACTATGAAAAAGCATGATGAAAAAGATGATCAAATGGGGATTCCAAGATCAATGAAACCTTTCTAAATTCAAAACTCCAGCAACTATAGATGCCAAAAATATAATCTTATGAGAAAAGAAAATTTAATGGAGTTTACCTTGATAAATGCACACTATGGACTTAAGCATAAGAAAGGAGGACTACCATCAAGATCACCATTAATGGAACTCTAAAAACTCTCTCTTCAATTTCCTCTCACATAACCTTAAAAGGAGGGGAGCAACAATTTTTCAAAATGGTTCAAGAGTTGAGATAGTTAGGGTTTGAGATCTCATGATGTGCTTTTATAACATGCGTGTAACTTTAGATTCAATCAACACCCTTCATGCACTAATCCAAAGGCACATGAGAGGCTAATGTACCTAGCCACCCATCCCCATCCAACCACTAGGATAAAGAGATGGGATTTCACACCATTATCACTCACCCTAACCCTAAGTTATGCCACTTTACCATTTTGTCCTTGGCCCATTTTTTGTTCCAATTGTATCCAACAGGGCCTTACAAAAATATCCTGTTTTTTTAATAATGTATTAGAGTAGATAACCACAAAAGGCTAAAGGGCAAAGACGTAATTGGCAAAACTCACACATGTGGAGATATTCTTCTTTCTCAAAGCCAATCACTTT